ACGGTAAAGACTGGCAACACTCACATCAAATATTTTGCCACGACATTTCACCAGAGGGAGCAACACACTCAGATGTGGATTTCTTCATTTTATTTAACGTAGATGCCTCCCGCACAGTCAGTTGCATATAGTTCACATTAGATTTTCCCGTTCTCAGAAGTTTCCTTTTTCTACTCCTTGACTGCCTTAAAGCCAGAAGTAAACTTACTCTGTTGACCAAAATTCTTCTCTTGCCTTTAGCTTTCGTATCATTAGGGTTTAGTATTGACAGATACCAGCAAATCTTTCTTACTCTGCTACGTTCAGTACAAGTAACTAGCTCCAAGTAGGTCATTCCCAGATCTGTTCTGAGGCATGGAGTCAGTAGAGCATTCCTCAGAAACCCGAGGTTTAATTTTGTTATTTTTCAGTAAGGATGTTAGACTGTGCCTGTACTCAAAGCAGAGAACGCCTCCCTGCAGGTTTCTGCACTACAGTTCACGGAATTCAATTTACAGGATACTGTATAGAATATATTTGATGTGTCTAGGTATTTTTTGGCATTAGTAAAGCATTAATTCTGTTTTAGCTTTTACCCTTGTAATATACAACACAAAAATGTACAAAAATCCTTTTTAAATGAAAACTATCTTAAACTATCACTTGCACTGTCTGCCTATACATCTATATACAGATTATTTACAGCTCTGTCCTGGGTTTAGCTCTTTTCTTCTTTGCCCTTTTCTACAATGGCCAGTGTCCAGAGAGGACTCCATCTGACCTCCTGTTCTTGATCCGGATCCTGACTTCTCGAATCCAGCTCCCTGTATCCAGCTCCCGCCGCCGCCGAGCCTGGGGCTGCCCCAGTGCCTCCTGTTTGGCAGCATCAGTGGGGATTGGTACCGAGGGAGGCAGTCAGGTTTGATATCAGGCTATTATCTATAGTTGTATATAGTTCTTTACTTTTATCATTCCACTATTATTTTCTATTATTGTTTTCATTAAAGCTGTTCTAGGTTTTTTCTTCTCTAACCCGAAAGTCTCTCTGCTTCATTTCCTTTTCCTTCCCATTTCGGGGGGGAAGAGGGGGTTAGAGAGCATCTGTCCGTGTTAGCGGCTGGCCTAGCCCTAACCCACGACAAGCTCCTTAATGTGTGCCTTTGCATATGCCTTCTCCAAGCCAAAAAGAAAACTTCCTGAGAAATATTTAAGTTTCACAGCCTGCAATTCCAGCACAGTTATAAAATTACCAAGGAATTCTTTGGTAAGTTTTCCCCTAACAGTTGACATTTTTCTTACTATATTTTGCTGTTTTCTCTCCTGTGGGGAACGTACATTTTTTTGTTTGATTCATGTTTGCCCCTTGACCAGAAAAGAAGATGCTTCAAACTGCTCTGCTTGGTGGTTGTGTCAGGTATTAACTTCTGTGCCTGTTCTGCTTATTTTGCATGGCTAATGAGGCACTCTGTTACATTTAATGTGGGTAAATATGGGTAGTTTTAATAGGAGGTTATTGTATTTGGAAATTGTCATGTTTGTAAACCTAACTGATGAGGGAATGTGGCGTTCAGTTCCTCAGTGACTGTCTATAAAATAATTCTACTTGAGTAAAACTTACAGAAGTTTTATATAGCTCTTCTTTTTTCATCACATTTTATAAAACGTATAATCTTCCTGAAGGGCAGGATCATTATGCCAATTTGGAGTCTGCTCCATAACAAAGGTGTGACATGTAAGGATTACAGCCCTGTACATCTGAACACAACCTTAAGTATACAAGCAAACCTCTGACAAACAACCCTTGTTCACGATAGCCTCTTATACTTGATCACCATCGTAACAGCATCTCATAAATTGGATTTATCACATTCCTGTATCTCAGTGCACTCCCAATTTATTCATTAGATTGCTGCCACTATTCTGAGTGCTTGAATAGCTATACTACCGAAAAATGTCATCTTGTTCTCCAAACAAAATGGAATCAATTTTTCTTTCCTCACTACCATATGTGGATGTTTCTCACAAGACTTCCCCCAGCTTTTATTAGAGCTTCAGAAAGAAACAGGTTGAAGCTATTACACAGACCTGCAGATCTAAAATGAAAAGCATTACTGCTTAATAACGCTCTTCTCCTTGCCTTCCAGAAAGGAGTGAAAGGCTTGCATCTCATCATGAAAAGAAACGTATCAGGGCTAAGAACCTATGAGGCTGTGGTTTTCTGATAAGTATAATGATAATTTCAGCTGATTTTAAATAGCAGTTAACTTTCAGAGCTACAATTTCGCTTTTTATCAGTTTAGGTGGGTGAAATGACATTTAAGACCATCTCCCTTTTAACAAAATGCCATGAAATCATTCATCAATAACGCATAAATTCAAGCCAAGAAAATCTTTATGCCATGCCAGCTTATTTGCAGGAAACAGAATTACAGCACAATGTTCAACAAACTATAACCAGAGTCCTACTGTCACGCAGACATCATCACAGGCATAATGTGGGAGAGCACTGAGCATGGTACGTGTGTGCAGTTCCTGAAGGTTCACAAGAACCTCTGCAGTATGAAGGCCTGACAGCACAGCACGTTCCTGGTGGCCAACAGTGGGCAGAGATAAAGCAGGCAGCATACAGGGAAAGACAAAAATTGGCCATCTCGAACCAGGGAGTCACACAGGCCAGGGGATGCCATGATAACGTAATTATGGTCACTGCTTTCTCTCTTTTTCAGTGAACTGAGCGTTTTAGGGAATCTAGACTGAAGTCTAAATTTAACTGTGAAACACAGTGTAATATAGCCACAAAACAGTGAACAATATAGTTTTTGCATTTTGTTTTTTAAGTAAATGGAGGGCGAGAGATGAAATTTTGTGGCAGCTGCACTTCAATTACATTTGACTAGCAGTTGCCACAAGTCAGCCATCTTTCTCTAAACATACTTGTTTTACAAGTTTATTTGTAGTCTATTGTAACTGTTGTTCAAATTTATCATCAAAAGAAAGGTGTTTCTGTTCTTGTAAAGAAGCATGTCCTGACATGACAAGTTCATCTTTCCCTGATTTTGCATCAAGACTGTGAAGGCCTCATCTGTTGCCTCAGTCTTGGCCTATGCTAATAAGCATTCAGGGCAAGTTTATCCCTTTGTGTGGAGCTTCCAAATTAGGTTAGAAAAGTCATGCAGTGGCAAGACATGACCAAGCACATCCTAGCAAGCAAATGGTTCAACTCTCTCAATTGCTGGCAAGGTACAGGGCTCTGCAGATATTTCAGTTCTTAGCTATCTATCCCTATAGACTTTGGGTAGATAATTTGAACAGATCAGTAAATTCTGAGATTTTCTACAGAAAACTCTGTGGTTATGAGAGATAATATTTCCCTGACAAGTTCTGAAATGCAAGGAAATGGTAATTTATCTTTCTTGTGTTCTTAATTTTATTTTTACCTTGTGGAAATTACTAAAAAGTCCTTTCTACAAAGGAAGCGTGACTGAGCGTTACTATTACAGGCCCACACTACAAATGCCTTCCATTCCCCTATAGACAACAATACAAACTTTGCTGTATTACTTACTGTAGCAGGGCTTGCCTGAGTAGAGCAATAGATGTGAGAAGAGGATTGACATACATAACATCTCAGGCTTTTGATGAAATTAAACTATTCGAATGCAAAAGTATCCTGATAAAAGCTGGAAGCCCATACAGACTTATCTATAACAACAGCGTGGCACAACAGGCTATGCATTTTAAAGCCTGAAATAAATAAATCCATATACAGGCTTTTGAATTTCACGTAATAATTTGTTCAGCAAACCAAATGATTTGGGGTTGGCATTCAATATACCACATCTGTAAGCGAACACTAAGTAAGACACTTAGCAACATTATGGATTTTCCTCTAGTATAAATGTTATATCCTAATATAATGTTCATGGTTTGCTCACTCAGTAAAGCAAGACCACCATGAAATGCTTAAACATTAAAGATTGTACTATGGTTCTATTATGTGCTTTGCAAAAGCAGGCATTTAACATACAATCACATCCTAATCTGCTATCTTTTGCTGCAAGGCAAGAGGTTTAGGTACCTAGAACTACAACTGTTACAAACACAGGAGGAACGATCTACCTTAGTTCTACTGCTGCTGCAAGAGCCATTATGTGAGAACTGCTTTCCGACTCGTTTTCTGTTTCAGCACTGTGGTGATCAGCTTTGGCAACAGCACACCACACTGTGGCTTCCCACCTGCCTAACAATGGGTCAGAGGAAAAGCTGTTAAGAAATAGTTGAGTATTGCCTTAGTACAATTGTCTAAAATTGTAGCATGTATCAAATTTTTATTAAAGTAATGGATACAGGCTGTCACTAGAGAATAAAGCACTTCAAAAGAATTAATTACAAATCCAGCACTTAGATAAGTAGCAATTATTTACCTGCATCTGAAATTAAGCCACAGCAAAGTTCTGACTTGCCCAAGCAATCATTCTGAATGGGTAACAAGCCAAGAATACAGCCCAGATCTGCTTTCCCGGTTCTGTCATTTAACGAATTGCTCCCATGGAAGTTCCCGCTACACAAGAGTGTTTCCTTACAAGAGCTCATGAACCATCAACACAGGCACCCAAAATGAAAAGATAATGGTAGTGGATGACCTGCTCTGTCATTTAGTTTCTATGGTCTGGAACTGCAGCACTGCACATAGGGTGTTGTATGAACTTTCCAGCTGTGTGGGGCTTGCCTGAGGCCAGGTTGCTTCAAATGAGACTAGAAAATTGCCCCTGCAGGCACTGCACAGGACAGACCTGGCATAACCTAACATCATAACGTTGCCTGCCCTCATGCGGTACGCTTAGGTGTACTCACAAAGGATTAATTTAGTGTCTTGTCTCCCCCCACTAAACTACACTTAAACTTGTCCCTGCAAGCAGCAGGAAACATGGCTTGTCAGCAGAACAAAATCAACAGAAAGGTGCACTTCTGTCACTTGAAAACAGTGACAGTTTTCTAATTGCATGTTCATACAGAAAAGGTTTAACTGTAAGAAGTCATTTTATTGTTGAAATAAATGACTTATTTACACAGATAATTACAGTTTTACAAAGCAGACATAATTCTTCTCAGAATAAAGTATCAAAACAGTGACAGATTTAGCACTGTCTAAATGCAGTTTATTCCAAAAACAAATCTACAGCAATCATTAGACTAAATCATAACAATCACATAGTAAAATGCTGTCCTTTGCAACTACAAAAGTATAAAAAGACTTTATATCAGTTATGATTTAGTGGACTAGGCCATCTGCTATACTTCTTTCTTCTTGAGTATTAGTGGACCTACATTATCTCCTGTTAATTCATTGTGCTTGTTGTGGGAGCCATCACAGACAGGGAACTAGAAGAAAACATACACGAGGAATTAGTATAACTCTGTACAGCAACTGCCTGGTGATTTTTATACTTCTTCCTATGCCAAGAGCACTTTGATAATGTTGCTAGTTCCTCCTCCTACGTCCTGTTTCAACATCAAACTCCATCTCCTATCAGACACAGGACACATATTACTATGGAAAAAAAACATTGCTAACAGGTAACTAAGTTTGCAAGGTCCTAAACCAGCTGTTCTTAGACACAAAGTCAGGGACAAACCCTTTTCCATGAAATAACAGCAAGCAAAGCAGCCATTACAGCCACAAATGGTTTAAGGTTTATTGTGGAACTAGTAGAAGTGCTCTTAATAAGATTTAATCATTTGCAAACAGAAAGCACTGTTTTAAGGAGTGTTGAATTACTCTGCTTAAGTAATTAGTCTAAAGGGAGAATAGTTGAGAGGATTTCTTAGGTACAGGGCAGATTTCTTTTACTAAAATAGAAAACCATTTGGTCCAGATATGACAAAACCAGCGTGCACTCAGGACATTCAAAAGAAATGGAGTGTAGATGAAGAATACTCACATACACCTAGTCAATTTGGGGGATACACACTATCCAAATGAGGCACTTACTGGCTGCTCTGGACCAGATGGGGATACACTTCCCTCACCAACACAGGTGCAGCCTTACATTCATTCCAGTATAAACAACTTTCTAAGCATTGTTTTTGCAAAACAGAGTAGTTATCTTCTAATTAGTTGCGACTAATATTTCCAAATACTAAACAAGGCTTGGTTGGCTTTAATCTACTCACAGGTGATCACTCTGTGTTTCTTTTAAGAAACACTAACAGACTTTTTCTTTCTGCATGCAGGTAGATTTACAGCACAGAAAAATAAGAACTGTGCCATTCTCAAAAACCACAGACACATTCCACCTCCAGAGAAAAGGAACAGGTCAACAAGTAGCAATTCACAATGGAAGCACTGATAAAAATATGCAAGTTTTACTCTCTAATCATACAGTAGCACAAAGCATCTTACCGTCTTAGAACGCCAACACCTGCAGTACGCTTTAGTGAGACACAGATCTTCAATGTTTATTTCATTCACTACTTTGGGATTTTCCTTCTGGATCTTGAGGTTAATCAAGCTATCCTTTTGCTGTTTCTTCTTGGGGAGGAACGGACGAACAGCGAGGTAACCGAGCAAGGCCAGCACACCCAGGAAAGGCAACAACCGCAGCCATTCTGAAACTAATGACAGGTGGAATTTAGATTAGCTCTCACTGCCACTTCAGGATGGTGCAGCATCATCTACTCTCAAACAACTTAGGCTTGGGGTAGGGAATGGGGCTGCTCAGTCAGCAAGGCTCTGAGGACAAACAAGCCTCTGTGGGTAAGTCTTAAAAGAAAGACAATCAGAATTAAAACCTGGATTTTACTGTAGCCAAGGTAAGAATTTGATTCCAGAATTTCACCTGAAGTTTGATTTTAACCCTCTGGAAGATGACTCGGTGGAAGAGAATAAATCCAAAACACAACGAAGACATACTGAAATAAGGAACCCTAAAATTACAGGGGTTTTGCTCTCCTGAAGTAAACCAGCACTGTGTACTAGCAAACTGGGAACAGTTAAATGCCGTAAGCATATTCAGTGCCAGTATCCTAACACTCTGTATTTGAAGAACTATTCAGTATGGTTTCTAAATCAATTTTATCTGCTTATTTTAGATTTTTACCTTCAAGTTTTCCACATTTTATTTATTTATAAAGTGTTTTCCACAAACTTTTGGCAGAAATTATACAGATCGATAGATAAGCACTAGCAAAACCTTCACCAATCTTTTCTTCGGGTTTTTTTTTGGTTTTGTTTTTTTTTTTTTCCAGAGCTCTGCTTGCTCAGTGATCTGAAACCAGTTTCTACAATACAGAGAAAGAAAGAATCCTGAGTTTGGGAAAGTCAAGTCACAGAAAATTGCTTTTTACCAAGCTAAGGAACTTCTTTGAAGTCCAGGTAAAAGATTCAAGTATCCTCTGCAGACTTAGATGCCTTGCTACATTATTATAAATCTTCTAGACATACTGGTGAGAGAAAGACTTACTGGACTTTTTAAGAAATTCATCAGCACCTGGCATAAGATCTACACACATTTAAGGTGGATCCACTTTTCCAGCAAACATGCTGTGACAATTCAAGTATCAGGGTGCAATAAAGGAGAGAGCATTTTTCTAAATTTCCTGAGAATACATTAAATCTAAACTTTCATATAGAAATCATAGAATCATAGAATGACCTAGGCTGGAAGGGACCTGAGAGATCATTTACTCCAACCTCCCTGTTGTGGGCAGGGACTAAAATGAGAAACAAAGAAGTGCAATGGGTTAGAGCACAAATAGCTGCATAAGCACTTTGTACGACAAAACACTGTAATCAAGTTCCTCTTAAATTATTTGGGATCAGAAGGCAGCAAAACTTTGTTCTACAGTTTGTTTTTTGAGATTAAGATATACAAGAAAGGAAATGCAATAGAGCAGGCTAAGGATGCTAAGTAGGTTGTAACTCCCAAATTACATTATTCTGTACAGTTTGATCTTGCATGTAATAATATAGCATATGTCCATGCTAATACTTTTCCAGTTAGAACACGTTGGCTTTTTCCTAATTTGAATTTTCTGGAAGTACACCACATAATGAAAATATTTTGTGGAACTACTTTTGTATTCTTTGAGTTTCTACAGGCTTTGACGTGAAAGCCACAATTTATCTGTCAATGCACCACAACTGTAAAAATGCTAAAGGCACTGCAAGAACTTTCAGGAGTCTTTCCACACCTGCACTTGCAGTGGTCCCTAAACACAACAATGGACAAAATTTGCAAATAGTGACTGCAATAGACTAATATCTGTTGTTCTTTTTTCAGTTCCCCCAACAAGCTGAAAGCCCTAAATGATAACAATTAGCAGTGAGATGCTTAAACATTCTCAGTTACACAAAATACAGAATTTCCTGGACAGCAGTGCCTGTTTGTCCTTTCTATGATTACTGTTCCAGAACACATCATCAATAGGAATCCAAACGCACTTTCTGGCCTTACATGAAAGACAGACTTGGAACATACTTTAGAAGAGAGGGAAAATATTTGGTTACTGAAAAATTGAGTGTATAACCTGACTGTTGGCAAAGAGGTGGATCTCTACAAAGCTACTCTGAACTCCCAAGACAGAACAAACATTCCAACAGGTGCACCATAACAAGAAGCAGGGCACCTATCAAGTGTGTGATGAATAGGAATAAGATTGAAACACAACAAGAAAATGTCTTGCATCAAAATTAAATGTTGTTAAAAGAGACTAGCAAGTAAAAATCAAGTGCCATCTCAACGCAGCTTGAAACTCCCTGATACAACATCAGAATTCGAACAGTAGTCATATCTATGGGAAACTCATAACCACTTGGGCTTATCCACATGAAACAGGAACGTGATAGCTCTGAGAAAGGAAATAAGAAGCAAACAGAAATAGGAAGTACAAGGATATTATTTATCATAGTTATTATTTAATATTTGTATCATGCTAACTGCTGATAAAGAGTGTTATCCTCACTAGTCAACGTTTTCTTTAAGTATTTCTAATCTGAGTCTCTGGAAAGCCCCCAGTTACACCAGTGTGTACACTAATTATAAAGTAACCTGTTACTGCCAAAAGGCTGCCAGAAACTCATACTTTTCCACTGAAAAATCAATATGACTATGCTTTTAGGGCGTTAACAGTCAAGATACTGTCACAGAGGAAAAAGACAAGTCACAGATCTTTGGACTGAGTGGGCAGGAATGGGAGAAAAGGTTCACACAACGCAGGATCTTCCTACAACTGTGAGCTGTTCTGTGGGTTTGAAGCCATTCATACCTTGCTGAAGCAGATGTAAGGCAATTTGCAAGACTTTATTTTCACAGCTGATAACTCAGATTTCAGCAATTACATTGATTCTGGAGATTCTTTATCAGTTCTGCTGCATGGGAAGAGACAGTCTTTGGAGCAGCAATGCAGAGTAGAGTACTGAAGAGGTTAGTCTTCAAACTTGACTTGTGTTAAACAGAGACCAAAGTTAAGTCCTGGAAAGTATCAGGAACGTCACTGAAGCAGCAATGCCCAGAGGATTCCAAGAAGCTGAGGCCACACATCCTAGGCCACAGTTACATTTTCAAGAAAAGGTTGTCTTAACTTTTAGTCCAACAGTAACGTGTCCAAAAAAATAAGAAAAATACACTGTGAACAGAAAGGGACTGGCCAGCCACCCAGAGTTAAATCAAAGCAGGTCGTCCCTGTTTGTCTTTCATCATCTACTCCTTTGGCATCTTTTACTTCAATTTTTATTTTAGATAAAATTTCTGTGGAAATTAGCCTGTGCAGACACAAAAGCAGATCCATAGAGTAACAACTCAACCACAAACTAAAATTTTAACAAGTATTAGCTACCAGTTAAAATGAAGATTGGAACTGCAGTTGTATATTCTCTAAACTGATTAAATTCTTCATGCATGTTCAAACTTTACTTAATTATATTCCCTTCAGAACTAATAATCAGTTCTATCCTGTTTTCTGTTGTCTGCTTGGGTCTCTTAAGGGATTTCTCAGTGCTACACAAAGGACTCCACACACCACGTTAATTTATCTCTTAGCTTAATAACTTAGAGACATGATAGTCTTTTTACCAGCATAGCACACTTTAAATGAATTAAAAGCCAAAGCTTATGGGTGAGTTAGCAAACTACTCTGTTAATGACAAATTCATGGTTCAAATAGGTTCTAAAGACTCTGTTAACATGGTATCACCCTTCTTTCCCTCATTACTGTAAAAGATCCATAAAACTGTCCTCCTCCTGCCTGACAGCCTTTTACATTAAAATCCCTCCTAACATGTAGGCCAAGTGTAAGGGAGCCCACACAGTACTGTGTCATGTTTATGGAAAGAAGCCTAGCACCTATTTTCCTACATAAACCTTAAAATTCTGACCACATGCTATTTGGAAGTAAATGTCTATGCTGTTTTAACGCCATGTACTAGGATAAAGAGCAATGCTAGCATGAGACAACACCGTTCATTTCAGTGAACTTGAGAAGGGAAGGGTAAAGCAGCTAGGACAAGAAACTGTAGCTTCTGAGCAGCAGTGGCGTGACAATTTAGATATCCACTTTCAAATCCAAGGTCAAACACGCTTTCCTTCTTCCCTCATTGCTTTTACCTTTCAGAGTTTTGCACTGGATGTTCAACAGTCTTCCTCTCTCCAAGCCAGCAGTTTTCCACTGTAATTTGGTGAGATCGTGACAGACAACAGGTGCCTCAAGCTTTCTTTCTAATCAGCACACTATAAAATCTCCTGTATGAAAGGATCATCCCCATGCTTTTAGTCTGTTGTTTCTAGAACTGATGCACTACTGGAACTGAAGCTGCATCTGCCTGGAAGGTTTACAGAAGCAATTAAAGAACTAACAAGCTAACAAGAGCTAGCAAGACTGCACTGTTGCAGATATTGGTTCTGACCTGTTTTTGCGAACAAGGTCTACGTTGAAAATGTATTTTAAAAGCTTAAAAATGTTGTCTCTATAGCTATGTGTTTTTAATTATACCTCTGTTTCCCCTTTTATGAGTATTTAGCACAAGAGCAGTCAATGAAATCACTAAACCACAGACAGTGGATTTTTTTCCTGGTACAATTATTAAATCCTACCAGATTTCAAAGCAATTTCTAACTTGGTTCCTTCTTTTACCTTTAATATTTTTGGGAGAGACATTTCACATGTTTGGTCTACACTTAAGGTTTCAGTTGTTTGCTTCTTGCCCTCACATTGAATTCAAGGACGTACCTGTCAATGGGGTAAATAATATGACAACAAAACCAGCTCTCCCCTACAGATCATGCTATTGAAAAAAAGTTCTGACCAAAGATTTCAGAATAAATTATATTATTATTATGTAGTGTGAGTAAATACAGAGACTGCCCAAATAAGCCTCTTACAGCTGTGTATGTTTGGACAAGTGAAGCATGAAGAGATTAAATTCAAGCATTACTAAACTTAATAAATTTTAAGTACAGCCTGTTATTAAAAGGGCAAAATGATTTAAGTAAGGGACCGACAAATGCTAGGAATATGAGAAGCTGCAGTGCCCTGTAGTTATTGTATCTCCTCCCTCCCAACTTTGTAGCAGCTGAATTTGTCTATTTGGTAAATATAATTAACAGCACTTTCAAATG